GTGTGTGTGTGTGTGTGTGTGTGTGTGTGTGTGTGTGTGTGTGTGTGTGTGTGTGTGTGTGTGTGTGTGTGTGTGTGTGTGTGTGTGTGTGTGTGTGTGTGTGTGTGTGTGTGTGTGTGTGTGTGTGTGTGTGTGTTTGTGTGTGTGTGTGTGTGTGTGTGTGTGTGTGTGTGTGTGTGTGGGTGTGTGTGTGTGTGTGTGTGTGTGTGTGTGTGTGTGTGTGTGTGTGTGTGTGTGTGTGTGTGTGTGTGTGTGTGTGTGTGTGTGTGTGTGTGTGTGTGGGTGTGTGTGTGTGTGTGTGTGTGTGTGTGTGTGTGTGTGTGTGTGTGTGTGTGTGTGTGTGTGTGTGTGTGTGTGTGTGTGTGTGTGTGTGTGTGTGTGTGTGTGTGTGTGTGTGTGTGTGTGTGTGTGTGTGTGTGTGTGTGTGTGTGTGTGTGTGTGTGTGTGTGTGTGTGTGCATGTGCTACAATACTAGGGTTGATCAATATTCCTGGCCCCCAAATGACCCCTTTTCCCATTTGGTCGGAAGCACCTTTCCCCCTATCCACAGTCATGGTAAGCCCCTCCCCCCGTGTTGGGCTGGTTAGCAGTTGGCTAAGGGTTGGCTTAGTTTAGAGCAGGTTCCGGTTGGGTTAGGGATGCGCGGGGAGGGAACTGGGGTCGCGGGAACCGCAGGCCCAGCAGATGCTGGGAGCCTGTGCCCAGGAAGTGGAAAGCCTTGCACTTCAGGGCTTCCGAGCAAACTACTGGGTGTACTCAATGTGCTGGGAGTCTCAGCACTCAAACCCCATCTCAATCCAGCCCATCAGCTGCCACTTCCGCCAGAGCGCAGCCACGGTTCACCAGGGCGTCCATCATCTCCCAAACGCCCCGGCGATGGTAGGCGCTCAAGGGAAGCGGCTCGCCCAGGCCCAGCTCCCAGAAGTCGGCGGCCTTGAGGTCCATGGTCTCAAGGCGGTCCGCCTTGGCCACCGCCAGCACCACCCGCAAGCCTGGCTCTTCGAAACGCGCGGGGCTCCGAACGCACGAGGCAGGCGCGAGATCAAAACCCGGGCCGCCGACTGAGTGACTCAACGTCCGATGGGTTAAGACAGCGGCCCCTGAAAAACCAGCAGCGATTGACAAGACATAACATTGCGTAGGCGATAGGCCGGCTGGGTTGTCAATGCCCTGGCCTCTGCTCACGTACGTCTCCTTCACATACTTGGCCAACTCAAAGTCATCCTTCGTCAGGCCCACGGTCGCATCGACAACCATGACTGCTGCTGCTGCTTCCCTGAGCGCAACATCTGTCTGGAACCTGATCTCCCTAGCGAAGGTGACAGTTGCCTTAGCAGGGCGACTTCAGCAAGGCATGTGCGAACTTGTCATGTCCATCAAAGTTGCCGAAGCAATCCTGCTACAGTACATTGTGCTGGGGTCAAAAACATGACGGACCAAACATGCACCGGAACGCGTTGATGGCTCTGTCAGCAAGGTATCGCAACTTGAAAGGACGCCTCTGAATTTGACTGTGCAATGGCGCATATCTAGACAATGCCAAGTGTCAAGGTTGTCTTCGAAGACCAAACCACCAGTGTCAATGACATCGAACAAAAATGTGTCGCCGCAGTCATCCGTATGCGTCGCTTGCTTGTACGTTCTATCGTGGGTTACGCTGACCTCGTCGTGCGCGATGCCGCCCACCACATCGGCAATGTCGCACATGCGATTCACCAAGGTCGACTTGCCAACATTTGGGCGACCGATCACCGCCACCAGCGGCCGCTTGATCACTTGAGGCTCCTGGCGCGACTGAATTCGCGTGGGACTGGCCTAGGCCCAAACACAGCCTTGCAAATGCGTGCCAGACCTCGCCTTCTTCTCCGCCTTTATCTGAGCCACCAACTTCACCGATGGGAACCCCGGGTAGATGCTCTCATCATTGAACACCTGAACCGGCTTCCACTCACACAGACTCATTCACTCACAAATTTGCTTCCCGGACGAGCCCAAAATGCGTCGCCTCACATTGCCGAAACCTCCCTCGGAAGTGCTCAGCCAAGAGGCCCAGCCCCGGCCATTGGGCAGCCGCAGGTAAAGGCGTCGATCGTCTTCGATGCCATCCACGGCCTGGCGTGAGGCCCAGCTCCCAGGCCGAGCAACAGTCTAGCTCGGCATGCGCGACGGCATCCAACACCCAACGGCACGCAGCAATACCCCGCGCAACTCTCAGTCACGCTCGCCAGCACCGATGTCAAACCACACCCTTCGTAAGTGCGAACTTCCTGTAGCTTGTGATCTGAAGACAAAAGTGAGCGAACTGTTGAGGAAACCTGCCTCCACTGCTGTGAAACGGTCCCCCTGCCGCAGGATCTCCCCGGTGCGCGGGGAGCGCTCATCGGGCAGGGTGCGCACTGCAATGCCCTCTGCACAGACCTGGGATAGGTCTCTCAGAGCTTCCGTTTCCCATTCTGGATGCAAATGTCGCTGGAAGAATGTGTTGAAGTTTCCCACGGCGCATGCATGGATCTGCATGGACTCATCGGAAGTCGCACAAAAAAAAGAACCAAAGGCAATCCTGCGGTGCAGTACTCTGATTCCGCGACTCAAACGTGGTTTGGAAGCGGCCGGCAACATCAAGGACGCAAAAACATTTTGGGGACTGAAGGCGCATCCACAAGTCGAGTGTTTTCTTGACATCCCACCTCGTACTCCCTCTCCTCCAGGTACTCCAGTCTCTTGCCCTGGGGTGGCTCCTTCAGCTTCACCGGCCGCTCTTTTGGCTCCTTCGGCTTCGTGCCTGGGCTTGCAATGCCGCTTGGAAGCCTCCAAGCAAAATCCCGGCATCCAGCGCCCAAGTCGCCAAAAAGATGCAGTTACTTGGGCATTGGAAGTGACATTGAGGAGTCCCTCCACACTCAACTAGGCACAGCTGAATTGAGGTGGCTTGGAGAATGGATCCAAGTGCATGGGTGTTGGATGGCGCGGTGAATTTGTTTGGCCAAGGGAAATGGCAATCAAAAGAGCCTCTGAAGCGCAGAGGAGCTGCTTTGCTGCACGGGAAAGTCGTCATAGAGTAGGGACAGCTCCTCATAGCTAGGGATCTGTGTCTTTGTGCTGGACCCTGCTGGCTCGTCCATGCCTTCAAAGACAGTGCCGCTGAACTCATCCTCTTCCTCCATGGCACCTGAGGGCCGCACGCATGCGACTGCGCCGGACCCGGTGCCCATCTAGGGGCTAGGTTTACAGCAATGGGAAGCGGGCGCCGAGCTTTTGGAACTTGCACCTTTAGTCTTGCTGGCAGCAACCCTCTCTCTCGCAAGTCACATCCTCCGGCCTTCATCTCCTACCAGGACATCACCAGACATTCGGTAATCCTCATCATCCCCTTCGATCCACTCACCCTCCAAATCACCTTCATCATCCTCCTCAAAGCGAAAACCAACACCATTGTCCTCGTCGTCCCAGTCAGAGAGCACGGGCTGCTCGTCATCCTCATCGTCAAACCCCATGTCATCATCCATGTCTATATCGTCCCAATCTTTGTCCTCCTCAAGGTCATCATCTGCCTCGCTTGGCAAAACAAGAAGTCGCGTCAATGAGCTGGCACATGCCAGTCATGCTTGCAGGTGAGGGCGCTACAGCTACAGAAATTGCTGTTTGTCTGCAAAGACCAATGAGAATTTCGGAACTTGTTGATTCACTCAGCTGGTACAAAGAGTATGAACAGCTGTGAAAATTTTGTAGTGTGGTAATGTCAAAGCCAGTGCCTCGTGAAGATTCTTTGTGTTGCTGTCATGCCTGTCGAGGCCTCATGTTAAATATGCTTAGGAAGGAAAACCTACTATGACCATGCGCAAGCTGTACCACGCATGACCTGTCTGCAGAATGGAAGGTATCCAACGCATGCCTGATACCAAGAGGTCATCCGCAATCTCACGAAGAGCCAAATTGTTGTTTCCCTTGACACCAGTCACAGGCACACCGTGCAAGTTGACTAAACCCGTGCCTTCGCCTGGACGGTCGCTCTCCTCACAAGGCACAAGAAACGAAGCCATAAAGGAGTCCATCAGCTGCACCCAACTTCGACGCTGACTCCAACCACTTTTCAAACTTCAACATTGGAAACACGTCCGACTCCCCAGGTCCAAGGTATCGTGAGGTCCCGTCATGTCCCTGTCCCCAAGACTCCTCTTCCGCGTGATTTGCCTGCGGGAAGCAAGACGGCAGCGAAGTGCTGGCGACACGGAGAAGGGACAAATCTTGCGGCCCTTTCTGAACCTTTGCTTTGCGTCTCATCCGGGGTCGGGGCTTCTGAAAATTGTGAGGTCCGTGAAAGAACCACCTAGTCGAAACTACTGACGCTAGTCGACCGTGTGCTTTCCGCCGGATATACCAATCTATCCATATGTCATATCAACGCAACAAATGGCAGCATCATTCATTATGCTGCACGCTGTGCCCAGAACCCCACAACAACTCCATCTGCTTGTAACAGAACGCTTGTGCACGATAGACGATAGGATCTCCCTCTTACTCTTCCCCAGACCTGCAAAAGATGACAAATATTGACTGCTGGTCACATGCCACCCAAACCTTCTTGCACGCGGGCAGGCCTGTGCCAGTGGTGCCAAAGACAAGCAGCAGCTAGCGCAGAGCCGACCAGCCTTGCACAGTTCAGAGGTTTCAAACACCTCCAATGAAAGGCTTCAAGAATGACTGTTGAGGTTTGTCGCCTGCTTGACGCACTTTTGGAAGCCACAAACGCGCGCACAGAGGCAAGTGGATATACGCCACAGTGGATCCAAGGTGGCCCGCTTCTAGAGTCAAGGAGTTGAAACAACTTCCAGTACAAACCTTGCCCTATGTAAAATCACTGGGTGATGCGTTTTATTCCAATGCATCCATTGGCCGAAGTCAAGACATGGTCGCTCTGCCTCATGCTAGGCGTCAACATGTCACGCTTGGATGCGCCTGGCGGGCTCTTGGCTTCGGCTGCGGCTAGCGGGCTCACAGCCCAAGTCAGGCGCCAGCGCTGGGCGTTGGACCTGTGGCTGGTAGCACGTGGCTAGCGGCACGCAACGCAGGGCCCTGCTTCAGTCTTCGCATCCGGACGGATGCAATGCTCTTAGGTTGTGTTTGTTGATGTTGGGGTGGGGAAAACCTGTCCAATCATCCGCTGCTGGTCAGCTGTGCGTCAAGCCCGCCCACACGGAAGCAGCATGCTGCCGAGACGTGGTATCCCCAGTGGTGGCTTCATCAGAAGGTGCGGGCTTGCGGGTTTTACTCTGGGCAACAGTTATGTCAGTCCTGGAGGTAATTTCTGTACGTTTTGCATCTTGTAAAGACACGGTAGCATACAATGATTAGATTTGTTCTCAATCATTGAGCAGCAGCTGCGCTTGGCAACGTGTGAGCAAAAGCTGTATCTCAGCCGGCATTTGACTGACACAGAATGTTCAGCAGCTGGCTGATAAACTTTATAAACAATGCATCACGCAATGCCTCCCTCCCAACCGGTGCAGCCGCAGTGCGGGTCTTGCAACCCGACCGAGATCACCCACGAAGGCTAGCCTCAGCATGCATCCGCCGGAGGAAGAGGGCAAAGAAACCGAATCGGCACAATCGACCGGGAACGAATGTTGAGAGTAACCTCGTTGGCACTCTATAATATATAGACTCTATAACAAGTTGATCAGTCCCCCATTTGTTGGGCAAGGTCACGTGGAAGGGTCTTGGCCTGAGCTGAACGCTTGTTGGAAAATGTCGGGCTGAATGTGAACGGTTTCCATCGGAGTCGACTAACACGGAGACACCTGATTGATGCTGTTGTGCTATTCAACCTGTCCTCAGTCAAGGCCATACAAGCAGGCAGGTGTAGAGCGGTTGGCCAAAATGGCCCTTGTGTGAGAGAGAGAGAGAGAACCCGGGCCTGGAGAATACTTGCAAGGAATGATCAGCAGAACCAGGCTTCCCGGCTCTGGCCATGCCATCCTGAGCAAGCAGGGACGGAGTGGACCAATTGACCGCTGAGCCTCCCCTCGTGCAGGATGCTTTTCGACATGGATGCCTGGTGTGGGTTTGATCATATATCAAGAAGCTGAGCTTGGCGACTGACCAGCAAAGAGAACAGCCGACAGGAGCAAACATACAACACGCTTGTTGCGAATGCCAAACACCTGCAGCACTGCAGTGGGCCGGTTCGGGCAGAATGAATGACATCAGTGCAGCAGCTTACTTCAGCTCGGTCCACCAGTCCACAGAAAGGCCGAAGAATGCTGCTGGCATGTGTCAATTCGGAGCTGAACCGGATGGGAACTTAAGGGAGCAATAAACAATAAGACCGCAAGGCAAGTGGCAAAACATTCAAGAGTGCTCAAAAAAGCTTCCACGCGCACGAAATCAAGCTCACCGGAGAAAGTTCCTGATATGGCCCTCTTCAACCATCACCAAGAGGAAACTCTGTCAAAGTTGGTCCGCCGGTCAAAAAGACGTCCAGCGGGACATCTGGGAGGTATCCCAGCGCACGCCTGGCAAGCGCTGGCCTTCGCAGCCAAACCTTGAGCCTAAAGCCGCGCTGCGCGGAAGCTCTGGCCGATTTCAGAGGATCGGATCCGTGCGGATCCCTCGCGCTTCGGGTCTCAAATTTCAATCACGAGCCATGGGAGTCTGGCACCCGGCCAGAAGCATCCAGCTGCAAAAGCTGGAAGGCTACAGACGGGACGTCAATGCCTTAAAGTTGGCCAAGTCAAAGTGCGAGCATCAATCAGGTGAATCAGAGAGAGAGAAGCTTTTGCGGATACGATCGAAACAGTTGGTGCCGCAAAGACCGTTTTTTGGTGGGTTCTGACAATGTATAAATGCATGTCTTCTTAGGGGACCCCCAAAACAAATCTTGTTCCTTTTCGCTTCCCTTTAAACCAGCCCCCACAAAAGGTATCCTCAAAAAACGACAACAAACTTGAAACCCAAAATGGTAGCCGCGGGCTCCCAAAATGGGCACCCTGCGGGGATCTCTGCGAGAGACTACGCAGGGCTGACGGCGCCTGGTAGCGGGCTCGAGACATGCTCCACCATGGGCTCCGCTGTGGCAAGCAAGTACCCTCCCCCAGGCGATTCCATGGAAGCTCCCAGCACCACTTTGGAAGACATGGCTCCATGTGCAGAGGCCTTCTGGGAGCTTCCATGTTAGTCCGAGGGAGTGTACTTCTCAGTAGGCAGCGGAGGCGAGCCACACAAAATATGAAACAGACTCCATCCGCTCCAATATCTCGCTTGGGGAAATCTGGAGAGCCGGGAGAGAGAAGACGCCGCCAAATTTCCCGGCCTCGGAAGGCCTGTTTCCAGCTCCGTCCAGCATTGGGAGATCTTCTGGCCTCGGGCTTCCGAGCTCCAAAGCAACGCTTCCCTCGGCCTAAGGCTGATGCGAAGCTTCTGGGCCGCTACGAACGCTCCCTTTTCCCAGTCAGAACGTCCACTGGCCGCCTGACTCCACACGTTGAGCCCTTTGTGCGGTTGACTCTGACATGTCTGACCCTCCAGGGATCCCACGGAGGAGGCACTGGCGCAGCAGTGCTTCCGCGCGCCTTCGAGACATTGGCAGTCTGACAAGTCTGAAGCGGCATAAACAGCGAGAACCCTCCAAAACGTGGCATCAGCCACTTCGCCCAGATCTCAAACCATGCATCTGGCTGTGGGTCAAAACCCTGTACCCCTGGTGAACAGCGGTATATGGGTGTTCATCCGCCCCAAAATGGAGGCATAAGTTATGAGCCATGGCCATCTCATTTGCATCAAGCCCTCACGTCAGCCTGGAGCCATGCTTCCGCTTGCCGATCCTCCTCCGCCGTCGGCCCCTGCCAGAACTGGCTTGCTTCAGTCTTTTTCCGAGGATACCCTTGTGGGAGGTGGATTGAAAAGAAACAAAAGTAAAACCACCATTTTGGGCTTGTTCTTCAGACACGCCCATGTGTGCCTGTGTTTGATGATGCTCAAAACAGATTGATCGCATGCATGGTGTGGGAAGGTGGCACGCTGGCGCCCTGGCATCAAAACCAAGCTTGCGTGCAGTGTGCCTGTTGTCCAAATGCCTGCTTGCAAATGCAGCAGCAAAAACCGGCAAAAGGCTGGGCCTCTTAGAAAGAAAAGTATGTAATGCATACTTATCTTGACTAGTGTCACTCTTGCAGCTACACGGTCGGCACTGCTTCAACCCAGGCCTTGAAATCAGCCCGCGGTTCTTCTGCTTGCCGCTCCTCCTCCGCCATCGCCTCCTGAGCTGAAATGTCGGGAAGCCTCTGCATGTATGAGAGACCAGCGTTCACCATCATGGGAGCTACTTGTCCGCGTGTGCCACAAGGGTTCAAGTCTTGGGAAGGCAGCATACATCCAGCCATGATTTTGGATCTCCGAACCAGCCAGGCTCTAACAAATCCTTGATCTTGGAACGCAAGCCCCCAGCCGGGAGAAGTCAAAACCCCCCAACTTGTTACGAGTGCCGCTGCCTCTGCGGCTGCTTTGGCCACTTCGGCTGCCGGCTGAGCCTCGGCTCGGCTTTCTGGCGCTAAGAAGGGCGTGGATCGTGACTAGCTACACGCAAAATAGGCCGGTGCCAAGAAACATCCAAATGGTGACTGCAAGGCTTCTGCAATGGTGTCTGCAAGGCTTCTGCGTGCCTCGAACCGCAAGGGAGCGAATAAAACTGGTGGTGTGGTGTCGGTGCTGTTGTGGGTGTTGGTTGTCGGTTGCAGGTTGTCGCCGTTTGTCGCCCGACAGTGTTGTTGGCGACGGGGTAGTTGAGGAGGTGTGATATTGTGTTGTTACTTGTGCTATTGCGGCGGTGGCTGTGGCGGTGGCGGAGTGGGCGGCGGGCGCCGCGGCGGTGGTGGTGGGTATTGTGGTTCGCCGGCTGGTTGATTGCGCGTTGGCTGATTGGTTGCTTGGCTGGCTTGCTTGGTAGGTTGGTGATGCTGTTGTTGCCACTGCTGCTATTGATGCTGAAGTTGTCGTTGCTGCTGCTGTGGCCCCTTTGGGGTTAGTGGTCGTAGCTGCAGTAGTGGTCGTGGTGCCTGTGTGTCAAATGCAGACCAACTCGAATAAACTGCTCTCCAGCTGTTCGTCCCATTGCTGCAAGCTGCTGCCGAAGATCCGCGATTTTGCGCGACGCAAAGCGCGCCGGATGAGACTCTCAAAGCTGGGAGAGGCATCGCCAATCAAGCCGATTTCGCCTGCACTTGCATTAGATATATTTTCCCATAGGGTGCGGATTTATTTTAAACAAAAGCAAACAAAAAACATTTGATCATGAGGTCCAATCAGCCAGGTGATATCCAACTTCTCTGCATCAAGTTCCAAAGCGAGATGCTCACAACTGCAGTGAGACTGCTCGATCGCAGCGGCCAGTGATAAACGCTCGACCATCCGTTCGGTGCTTTGCAGGTCCTCATGAAACTCGACGTCGCCCCAAACCTTGCATAGGTCCCATTTGAGTACGGCTTTAAAATAGGCGCCCAAATGGAACCCTGGCAAATGGAAAAAGTCGACTCAAACCTGCTGGTCCTCGGGGGATCTTGACTACCTCAAACAACGTTTCTGAAGATTCGTTGCCAATGCCAAGTTCGGAAGATCCACAAATCTCAAACTTGGGAGCTAGAATGCAACACAGCTTGAGCACCCACGGTCCAACTACAGCCTTTACCACTCGCATCTGCTGTTCTATAACTCCAGGTGTCAAACTCCATCAGCACGGGAGTAATCATCTCGGGTTGGGATCTGTGCTTTCTCAAAGCAATTTGAGTCACTCACTAGCAGGAGCTGGCTTCAGAGCTCCCAGTTCTGTAGTAAAAAAGTGAGGAATATATTTTGCCGCTGTCCTCGTCATATGGATTTGTCGGACATCATTTGGGTGAGGATTCAGAATCACGAATCACTTCTGAGGCGGTTCCCGTTGAAATTTACGCCAGATTTTGGCAACCAGATTCGCGATTGTCGCACTGGTGTAAATGCCTCCTCTCACAGCCTCCGACGCACCGCTGCTCATGCCTCCTGACGAAATGCTGCAAGACGCTTTGCATGGCAGGTGCGCTTGTACTCTCAAGCTGAGACTTTCACACCGTGAATGGCCGCAGAAGCAAAACAAAAATGTAATCACCACAGAATTCCCTCGAGAATTGCCTGTTCCAGCGTGGGGCCGAAAACAGGGCTTCCTCGAGGACGCCCTCGAGGAAGCCTTGTTTCCGACCACGAAAAGCAGCATCAAAAAACAAGAGGCTCCGGGAACGTCAGTTGTATTTTTTTAGAAGCCGGATGAAGCCGGGGTGCTTGTTTGTTTGGAATTACCAGTTGCTCACTCACGTGTTTGGTGGAGAGTCCAAAATGAGAAAACCAAAAATAACAACTGGGAATTGAATGTGACTCAAACAAAAGAACGGGTCCGCCCAGGAAGGGTGCCATTAGTTGTAAGTGATGCTGGTGGCGATCAACAACCTGGGCGTCGGCACTGGGAGTTGTGTTGGTAGCGACCAGTATAGTTTACGGGCAGTAGTGACCGCCAGACTTTCTTGATGCTGGGATGTTGCCATGTCATACAATATACATCTTTATTATGCAGGATTCAAGTGTGATGCTAGACATTCTTGCATATATTCCCACATGTCATGCTGGGAACAAAACCCAAAGCTGTTCTGCTGTAACTTTGCATGTCTTGGCCCCTTCCGAGGATCCATTCCACTTCTATGCGGCGATTCTATCGCAGACTCAGAAGCAATGCGGGCAGGATCTCACAAAAAGGTCAACGCTCAGATCAGCTTTTTGCCACCACATACGTAAGCCATGCGATAGCGTCCTTTCAGCCGATCCCCGAGCAGTTAACTCAACACAACAAAACAAAGGGTCAGTTCAGGTTAACTTGCGGCAAGTCAGCAAAAACCGGAAAAAAACATGTCAAACTTGCACAAAACTGAAGCGCCACATGATCTTCCAAGGCTGCGAATGGATGATTCTCTTTCATGTGAGCTAGTGCCTAGGTGTTTCTCGTTTTCGCACTTCCAGCCGGTCAAGTTGGGTTGGCGGCACTGGGCAGAACCCTTAGATAGATCCGGCCGCAGATAGTATCGTGAGCCTTGGTCTGGAGGAGCAAGCCTCTAGAGCGAAGCTCTATAGGGCTGTTGTGATGCTGCGGACGCGTGTAGACTGCATATAGACTACAGTGACGACAATCACCCCCATCATCTGTTTCTGGCTGGTACTTTTTTAGGCATGTGTCGGGTCGATGGGGGTGAGGGGTAGGCCTTCCATGCAGACTCTAGCCCCTTACAGCTGCACACGGAGACGAGGATGCCCACCCTTGAGGGCTGGCACTGATAGTCGCACAGACGTGTAAATGAACCTGCATGGCGCAGAGCAACGTGCTGCAAGGATACATCCTTGCGCGAACCTGCCACGCGACGCTGCCAAAAGCGGCTCTCTGCGCAAGTGCAGAACCTTCACGGATTACAGGTGTGCTTGCTGCGGCCGGTTGAGTGTCGGCAACATACGTAACAGGAACCTCTCCCTGTCACGCCCATCAGGCCCTCCGTCCTTGTCATCCTCCGTGCTCGCCATGACAGCCATGGGCTTCTGCACAAGCAAGCACCGCTTTGCCCGATCACCGGGGAACTGAAATCCAGTTGAGTGCAGCGTGCAAACAAAAAAAAGGAACTGGTGGCTTTGAGTTGACTGGGATTCGGGAGGATCCTTGCAGAAAAATTTGGGATAAGCAACGTGCGGATTCCTGCTACTGCTAGGGAAGCCCAATGACAACCATTCCAAGAGCTCAGATATCAGACACATGTGACACCAGACTCTTGTCACAAAGAGGCCTTCTGTATCAAACCCGGCCTTGTTCCCAATGGGTCGCCTCAAGTACTGCTCACTGATCACTTGCAAAGCCCGGAACATTGCACAATGCACTGCTAGTACATCTGCTGTCACGTTGAGAATGAAGCAGGAGACATCAGAATGAGGACAACTCTACAGAGCTTTAAACCATGCAGCCATATGCTCTGCATCCATTTCTTGGCATAAGCTCGACTGGCGATGAGAAGCTTGCCCACCAGCCCATCATTCACTCATGCCGACCAGGAACCCCTTGGAATCAACGCCAAAGTTGACGCCGAACACGAGGTCGCCATAAAAGAGTCTATCATCCTGCCCGAGCAGATTCATCGCAAGAACGCCTCGTGTGCCATCGGGCCATGTAACAACATAAGCCAAGCGCCAACCAAACCTGGCCAACTACACGTGTCAGACGTACCTGTATTTTGTCTCGATAGGCCTCTGTGGACGGCTTTGGCTGAAAGACGGCAGTCTGGACGCCGGACGCGTCAAGGTTGGCTGTGCTTTATTATCACAACTGCTCGCCTCATCACGAAGCCACCTCGAAACAGCCTAGCTGGCCAAAAAACAAACTACCACATGTTCAGTTTCGGCTGACATGCGCGGAGTTACAAACCCAAACTGACAAGCGTTTCAAAAAGCAACTTCACCGCTCACACAAGGTCTGCTATCAAATAATCGCCTGCTCACCCAACCGAACGCCCAAAAGCTGGCCACCACTCCACAGTCCTTGCTGGGAAGCGGCCTGGCCAGTTTCTTGTACGCCTCCCGGGCTCCTCAGCCGAGCATGTTGCACATTACAATCCGTCGAGGTGGAACCCGCACTCAAACACAAGGCCAGGGATCTCTCGTTTGCCAGGCAACTCTGTCCGCTATGAGCACAGATTGAACATTCAGTCTCAGTCAGTCTGCAGTTACAAAGCAAAGTCACGAAGGAAAGAATTCAGGGTCATCACGTTTCTGGTGCCCAGCGGCCAGCAACACTTGATTTATACATTCTTGCTCAAGGGTCGCCCTACGACAAAGCCCAAACTGATTCACAAAGATGCCGCAAAGTTCAACGCTGTCAGCCGGGAAATTGGTCAGTACCAATCTGAGCCACTGCTACAATCTGACCCACGACTATCAAGACAGTGGCTGCTTGACTTGCTGAGTTGCGTTGGCTTCGTGGCTCTTCGCGCCTTTTAGGCTTTGGGGCTGAGCTGCGCCAGTGCCCATTGCGACGATACGACACAAGACCCCCCGGACCGGCAGGTGGACGAATGAAGCGACTCATGGAACGACTCATGGGCGACTCACATTCCTCTCCAACGCTGAGCTGCCGGCGCTTCTCTTGATCTGGGTCCAAGCCTTCTGGCCGATCAATGGGCCAGAGCTTGGCGTTGTTGTTCCACCCAAACCTCGGGCTGGCACACGCATTGTCGACAGTGGAATTAGGTGAGCAAGTGTCCAGTGGCAATTACAGAGTGCGCCATCCCATTCTCTTCATATCTACAATTGACAATGACTTGTGGAGGTGGCTCCCAGCTCTGGCTGCTTGGTAGGAACTTACTTTCTCAGTGACGATATCGTTTATGCCTCTTTAAGTTGAAGCGAATGAACAGCAGTGTGTTCTGTGAACCTTCGAAATACTGGATTGGCTCACCTTTTGTCTAGAATGTGCAGATCTCGTGTCCAGACCTGCCACCCTAATCATGAAGACAAAGATGCGACATGTGTCACGTCGATCATAGCAACCAAAACCGGAAAACTCTGCTGAGCTCTAGCCATGCTGACTAGCGGCTCTTTGTACAAACCGCGCATATAGCTCTTCTCGGCCTCTTTGAGCACAGCAGCCTAAGCCCAATGCCAAGCATGTTGCGGTTGATTGCTCCTGTCTACACAAATGCAACCGACGTGCCATACCTTTCGAGCCAAGGCACTATATCATCCCAGCCGTGCCTCATTGAAAGGATGTCTTGTGTGAGAGCCAAACACCAAACGGCTCTCTGAAAGGGATAGGCACATTGGCACGGTTGGCAAAACATTTGATTGCTTCCACTTCAATTGCGTGTTCCATTGCACGATGAACGTAATCATTTTGGGCCATAGGGTGTACTTTCCATTGTGGTTTCCCTTGAACGATTCCATGGGAGCTTTCAACTGCGAATTCCCTACGTAATCAATGTGGGCCAATGGGTGCTTTCAATGGCAGGGTTCCCTTGAACACTGAACGTATCCATTTTGCGCCATAGGGTGTACTGTCAATTGATCGTGGATGATTTTGCACTGTTTAGGTTTATCTATCCATCAACAGTCAAGCAAGCCCTGGTCTGAACTCAGTTCAACAAACATGTTATTTGCAACTGCCATCATGTTGGGCTCATGAAAAAGCAGAAGCATAATGCTGCCCCTAACAGCAAGAGTTGCATTTTGGTGTCCAACCGGAGGTGCGTAACATACAAGACAAACAAGAAAGCTAAGGCGTGGCATCCTTGAAAAGCACCCTACACAACAACAAACGAACCCTGCCGCTGCTTCAGTGTGCTGCTGGACAGTGTGACTCAGGGTTGCGCAGGAGTTCGCCGCAGGCCGCTGCGGCGGGGTGCTTGTAGAAAAAATCACGCCAGCATGGATCCCGAATCACAAGAAATAATTCGAATTGGGCAACAAAAACATCAGGCTCTTGACAATCGTGCACGCTCATGACGACAGCATTTGTTACGCAGCGCCCGTGCCCTTCTCTGCAGCACCCTTCAATCGCACCCAGTGCAACAGCAGCTACCATCCGAAGACAGCACCCTGCGCAACTCTCAACACACACTTAGTAGCAAACCCTCCAAACAGCACCCTGCGATAGCACTTTGCCCAGGCTCCCTGCATCAGCACTTTCAAACAGCACCTTGCAATCCTGCAACGCCACCCTGAGCAACTTGCTGCCATTCGACTACAACTGGACCCTGCAACAGCATCCCGGACAGAACCCTGCCGACATTCTTACTCACACCCTCGCTCAGCATCCTTCGACAGCACTAGGTGTAACAGCACCCGTCGCAACAGCACCCTACAGATCTGGGAGAAAATGCTCAATTTGTTGATTGTGGGTATGAAGTTGTGTTGGTAATTGCTTTGTCATTGTTTCTTCACCAGCCAGACTCGGTCATTCTCACGGTTACGCACAACCGCCGGCAAATGTCAGGTCAAGAGAGCTGTTTTGTGGGACATGCAACATGTTTGACTGCGGCGACAGCTCAAAAGGCACATGAGACCAGCTGCTTGTCTGCCATCTCGCGCGCCGTCTCGCCATCTTTGGGGTTCTGCCCCTCTGGCATCGAGCGCTTCACGTGAGGGTCCACGCCCGCCTGAACAAACTGGCTGGTCCCTTTTTGGATGGTCGCCATTACGAGGATCCAACAAGGGATCAACCCCTGGTGGGCACACGGCTTCTCGTGCGCCACTGTGCTGGAGCTGCACGATGGTTTGAACGCCCTAAGTCAACTTGGCAAAAGTATGCCCAAGAGAGGCCGCTTTATAATATGTTGTCTCTGGACAAGCCACGATGGCACGCCATCCTTGCGCTCAAAAGGCATATATGATCGTAAGGAGAAAGACAACAGAAACACTGTTGCAAACCCAGGCCCTGAGAGGTGTGCTGGTTGTGCCGTGCATTTTTGAACATGAGCGTTGTAGTTTGCTGAATGGAACCAACACAACATGTCCTGTTGCCAAAAGCCAAAACCGGTCACACTCTGCACTGGTCTGAGCTGGCCGCAAACGACCTGACAATGTTCCTTACACATTGGAACGCTAAGAGTCACACAAGGCCGGCTGAAGCACCTTCCATTGGAGGAACGGCACCTTTACATGCCTCTGATTATCTCGCGGTTGCTTTTTCTCTTCAATGCCCTTGACCCTGCCCAAAGGGACCTTGCCATAGCATCACAATAACTCCGCTCAAACAGAATGATGCAACCTGACGATCCTCTCCCCACCTTGAGCAGCATCTGCACTGCCTCCAGTTGCCCCGCCGTGGCAGCCGCATGCAGCGCGTTGAAGCCTTAGCTGGGAGCGGCTTGGGTCACGGAGTCAGAGGCTGGATGCGCCATGTGCGAAGGGAATCTTAAGATCAAAATGGAACCAGATTCGAACTGCACAGCCTACCCGCCCAATTCAAAAAATGTCCTTGGCTTGCCTCGTGCAACAAAAGAAATCTATTCCCATGGAGTTGCTGTTTTAAATGCTCCTGGCATGTGCCTTCGCCAGCAACGCTCAGTGATCTCATGGCTTCGTTCAAAAGCTCCTTTCGGGCAACCGTCCGGCTTGTGGTGGGCATTGAAGTCGTGGTGGTATCCTTCGATGGGGTCCTCCCGGTCGAGCCTTGGCAAGTTGAATCCACAAGCTGGCACCCAATCCAGACCCTCCCGGAGAAGCCTTGTGGGCTCCGGGTCCCTCTTGCCCACACAAGCTTGCCCCAAAAAATGCAAGAAACAAGGAAACAAGCACCCGGACAGGAACTCAATGCCACGCTGCATCTTGCTCAAGAGCTCCAGGTCGCCCTCGTATGCTGCTTGCACAAAGCGTTCCAGCGGCCACTTGCTGTAGCCGCGTGGGTTAATATCCTGCCCAAAGGCTTGCAGTTGGAAGTGAGGAAGTGCATTGGGTTTGGAAGGACGGAGCATGGGCTCGCAATTGTATAGCCGTGACCAAAGGTGAACATGTATGACTTAATCAAACACACAACAATCTAGGCATGTTGGTCATACTTGCGAGACTCGCCGCCCGGAACCAGCCTGCGCGGAACCGTGCGCGCTCAATTCACCGTGCGATCCGCGCACACGCGAATTGAAAAGGAGCCCGAACTTACAGAGAGGATGCGTCGCACGTGCGTGGTGCTGTCGGCTATCTACACAAAGATTGCTAATTGCAACATTCCCTTCCACCTGGCACAGTAGGCGGGGTTGCGCGACGACCCCCATACGCCAGGCGCAGACTCAAAAGTGTAAGCTGCAAGAATAAACAACCACTTTCCGCCAAAAGACTGCGATAAAACGGCAACCAATCGAAGCAGTTCATTAAAAGCAAGTATCCGTACTGTCACAGCCTACCAACAAACATTGGCTTCAAAGTGCCTGCTGCACCTGTGCAGAGGGAAAGGACCGATCTGCATGACACATCACAACAAGTCAAGGACTTATCTCTTGCCACGGACAGCATTTATTTCCTTTCAGTCACCTGCTTGTACAAGCTTTGATCTATTGTACACTGTGGCAAAGATTTGCCCATCTCCGACCCAGCCCTTCCGCGCGCGCGCACTCCGCGCGGAGTGCGCGCCTTGTGTATCATGGCCAGCTGCTGTTTGCTCGGCACCCTCAGCTGGCCTCGGTTGCCAGAGGCCCAGAGATCGAAGCTCCGGACGGTGCCGTCAAAACGCTGTAGCTTACGCCCATCATGACCAAATTTGGCTTGAAATCCAAGTACACAACCATTTGATCAAAGGCATCCTTAATTCGCACCCAAATGTTTCATGCGATAATCAAGTGGTTACTTGCTGGTGCTCAGCAGGGAATGTGGGAATGAACCTAGGGATTCCCCAAAAGGGATGGTTCAAAAGGGTCATTCCACTCGTTCCTGCGGAGCACCTGCAAGTAAAGGTCCTGGATCTCAGGGTTGACAGTCTTTGCCTCTTTGCCAAGCGTCTCTGTCGCACATGGGCCTCCGGGTCCATGCGCTGTCGAAGGCTCACGCCTGGCCAGGGCGGACACCCTTACCGTATCCCTCAAGACACTCCAACCATGGGAGCAACATCTCAGCTTCTACGTGGGCAAACGGAATCTGCATTGACTGACTGTGATGTTTCACAATCACAGCATACCCAACTGAACTGCAGTGTAATGCGATCTTGCTATTGTGTTTGTGACCTGAAGATCACATCTGTGAATCCAAAAAGGCTAGCAAAACCAAGTAACTTACTCACCCTGCGTATTCATTGCTATCAGAGAAAAGCCGTGCAGACCTGACAAAATATCAAGTGGACCCCAAACATGGGACATGCTGCACCAGCACATCTCCCAGCAATGTATGAGAGCGGCTGGCCTAGCTCTGCCATCGCATGTGCCTGACACCGACCACAGGGGGAGAAGCAAGAGGCAGTGCAAGAAAAGAATCATGCTACTCACTCTCCCACTAACGTGGCAGCTGACGGCTGAAACCTTGCGCCGCCTTTCCTCTGTTCTTCAGTAGGTATCTGCTGAAAGGCTTTAACAGGTGCTGTGGAACTTCGCTGATGGTCCGGTCGCAGTGTGTGAAAGTCCCTTCCCTGGCTGCCTGGCTCTCAAACCGCAGCTTTTGGGAAGCGCAAAATTGCTGACTTGCGAGCTGAGGGAGCTCAAGCGCGCGCTCACGGCTTTACGCGGGGGTGTGGATCATCGCCGCAAGATCGTCTGCAAAATGGATCAAAGCGGTAAATCCAAAGGTCAAGCCTGACTTGACCCTGGACGAGTACAAAGAATCGCCAAGGTTGAGTTAGCATGCAGCGTTGCCTGAACAGAGCCTTCAGCGCTTCATGTGCTGTCACGACTAAAAAAAGAGGAACATGTCTGCCCACTCCTGGCCTGTCTGTGCGCAGACCGTGCGGCACCGAGGCAAAGCCAGACGCTGCGCTTTGCTGGAACATGAGACCAGTGATGCTGGTGTGCTCGACTTTCAAGTGCAGAGGTTTGCCTCTCAAATCATTCCATCTTCAAGCCCCCTTCAACTATCCCACCTAGTGGAAAATGCTCGACATTGGCCCAATACGATGCCAGAGATTGCCAGAATGGGACAGGTTGACCTCTGTTCAACACCATCATGCAAGTCGCAAACAAAGTCTACATTGCACTTGCGATGGGCCTTTCCTTCAGTGCTGTCTCGTCCAATATCACGTGACACTTCACACGAAAGAATCAAACAAAACGCATGTATTGCATGAAACGAGATCGAGGTAATCGATGGTGCAAGAGTCATAGTACGCAATGGCTGTTCTCATCTGTTTCACTGGGTGCCCAACCAGTGCAGCAGCAGCCTGCAGAGGACAAATGCTGCTAAAGGATGAAGGAGACCACACTTTCGACATAGATGTTCAAAGCTCAAAACCGCACAAAGACTTGGCAACCATCTGTATCTGTTCACCGTTCTTCTGTTTTTTCTGTGAAGCCCTTCTGCTGGATCTTCCCCTGGCTAGCTTGAGTTCTTTTCTGGGACAGGGTGAGAAGCGGAACAACTCGCTACTCCGACATAAAGACACACTCACGCTTTGCCCTTGGCCCCTGCTGCCGCCATCGAGGGCATATGCTTTCAACGCATACCACTGTTCCCGCTTGGCTGAAACAATCCATCCAGAACATCACTTCTTCCCCAGTCCGATGGCTCTGAATCCAACCTTGGAGTGAGACGCGGAAACATCAAGCACGGCATTCCTACGTTGTCCATGCTTGTGTTTCATGATATACGTACTTGCAGTTACTTGCATCTTCTACTTTCAACAAAAGTAGCTTGCAGCCCTCGATGCCTGCCATGCTTGCAGCATCCTTGATAAGTGTTTGTTCGACCAGGCCCGCCTTCACAGCCGCATCTGCATCTTCTCTCTGCTGGCCTCAGCTGCGGCTTTCATGCTCCTGTGGGTCTGCGGGCCCCAAGCATACTTGGTATGAGGTAGCTGACCCAGTCGGACTTGGGACAACGCCGAGGATCCTGGTGGTGCCTTGTTCTGTGTCGTGTTGTATGCAAAGGCAGGCCTTAGCTCAACCCTATTCGTTGAGCTCCCGCATTGGTTGACACTTAGCAAGCTGCACAACTTGACAATTGTTTATAGTCCCCCCCCCCCCCCACCCCGCAAAACAAAGAAGACAAAAAGACACGATGCGCTGTATACGCATGATATGTTCACAACCCGCTTGCAGCCAGCCTTCGATCCACAACTCCAAGGCGAGCGCGGTCATTTGCAGAGCCATCCCTTGATGCCAAGTCGGAGGCCCTCAGCAACTTTCAACGATTGCTCCCGCCTCCCACGTTGCCACGCCGAAATCGGCAAAGTTTAACGTTTGTTTGGTTCAACTCGGCCTTGAAAAAGTAAAACGATACTGGAAGCAGCCAACTCAGCCCTGTTTCGTCTGTTTGAACCAAATCACTCCTCCCGCGTGGCTTCCCGATATTCCAGAGCAGCCGGATCTCGATTCGGTACTGAGCTTCAGGCGTTTCCTCTTCCTCAGTGGGCGACAAAGGCTTACAATGAAGTCGCATCCACTGCAACTTGATTTTGCGGAAAATGCCTCACTTGCACACTGTCCAGGCGCTGCCCTGGATGTTGGTGCTGGTGTGGCCGGAAACTGCTGCAGCTCTTTCGCTTGCCTGACTGTGCTGGCGCCTTTTGCTTCAGCATGGACTGGACAAAATATGGGCGGTCCACAGCGCCGGAAGCAACAAACGCTATGAGAGCGGCTCTCGTCCGTGGGGAAGCTGGCCAACGCTGCGTTACCTTGAAGCCCTGGCGGCTTGGCATCCCGGCAGACTTCTTCAGAACCTCGCAAATTCGGGCTGGGGCGAGGCCAGTCTTGCGGTGAGCTCAGGCAAATAGAGGTGGTGACTTCAAGACTGAGGCACTTAGAAAAGCATCAATCGTTGAGAAGTAGTCACCATTGCGCCACACCGATCAGGTATTTCGAATCCATCTACTGGCGTATACTTGGCAGTGGCCGGCTCATGACCCACCAGGGCTGCGACCTCATCCGGCTCAGGCTGCTCCTCGCAAGGCCTCGAGTATTGCCAAAGGGCCATGGAGAGATGAGGTCCGATGAGACTGAAGCCGAATCAAATTCGAAGGGCACAAACCAAGTTTAAAAAAATAAAATGTTTCCCTCTGCTTTTCGCAGCTCTGATTTTCCATCTTTCGAAGCACCAGAGCCCCCCCTTCGGTGCCGCTTTGCTTACTGCAGTTCTGCTTCAATCTCCACCTGGCGGTTGTCTGAAATTCCTTGTTCCGGAAAACGCCATCTTCGCGAGAAAAAAATCACTTTCGCGGACCCCATCGCGGAACTTTCGCGGGGCTGTTTTCAGAACATTCATCACAAAAGTTGTACACGAAGTACACTTTCGCAGCCCGGCTTGAATACGAGAGTAGTACACGAACTAAACTCACTCAGCCTCGAAAGCTTTTAAATACGAAAGTAGTTCACAAAGTAAACTGCCGACTCGAAAGTCGCAACCTTTCAGTTCCAAAGTAGCACGCGAAGCGCGCTTCCGCAGCTCCAGCTCACAAGCCGTGAGCTATACACACGAGAGGACCCGTTGGCCTCATGTCCGTCGACTTTCGCGAAACTTTCGCGGATCTTACGCCAAACATTCGTGAAAATCCGGCTGGAAGTTGCGCTCAACTTGCCCGAAAAGCTTCAAAACTCGCAGAATCAGAAGCTGGTTTCTGCTGGCCGGGGGTTGCTTTTGCAGCGGCGTGTCTCGCGGCGACCCTCAGGCTGCGCATTCTCCGACCAACTTTAGTCTGCGGGCATTCTGCGTGCACTGCCGGGAAATACACAGTGACATGGTTCATCATTCCAGCTTCCTGTTAGTAAGCCACCCTTACACAAAACTTTCGCGGAAAAAAAATAACTTTCGCGACCCCCTTCGCCGAACTTTCGCGGAGGTCAACGCTAAGACGAAAAGGTCTTCCCCTTCATAGCCAAGTCTCTTGTGGCAAAAACATCCATAGAAAGTGGGGCTGATGCATGGCCCGGCTTGCGACTGCAGCTGCGCAGAGGCCCGACACGAGCGACACATCGTCCAGGCTGCCGGGCGGTGACGCCGCAGCAAGCTTGTCGAGCCTGAGACCCGGACCATTTGCCCCTTGTCAGCTTCCCTAGACCAAGGCAGACCAGTGAAAAAATCAAAACCTGGCAAACAAAAATGTTCTACCCAAAACCCTGCAAAAAAAAACATATATGCGGCTGCGCCCGTTTATGGTTGGGATTGTCCCTTACTAACCTTCATCTACCTGAATTCTGATTGTGGTCACGTGATCTTGCGTAGGCTGTGACAGCAGCATCCTTGTGGGACCATTCATTGCTGAATTGGCAGTCGTTCGCCTCGAGCAACCTTCAGCATCTTCACAAACTTGGGTGTGCCGTTTTTTGAGGGCACCCGTTTTACCTTGCTTTAAAGGGAAGCCAAAAGTAAAACCACTATTTTGGGGGTACCCCTATCATGATACCCCCCACTTGAAGTCCCAGGTCAAATCCGGAACGTCGCGCGCAGCGAGATGCAGCTTGATGTTCTGCTCAAGAGCAAAGCCCTGGCTTGTGTGCTCACTCCCCTGTCTCAACATCCAGCTCACGTCAGATGTGCACAATCCCCAATGTGCCAAAGTGATTCGGAACAAAAGGAGAAAGTGTTCAAGCCTTCACCATGAACTAGCCCAAAAAAGACAGAAGAAATAAAACTGAATCACACACGTTCAATGTGAGGGACTCATGGCATGCACTCGGTGCCGGAAAGGGCCGGGTTCGGGACATCTTCTGGAAATTGTTGACTGACAGCTTGCAACATTCTGGAAGCACTTCGGAAGGACTTCCGATGTCCGATGTCCGGCTTCGCAGGTCCCTGTTGGACTTTGGAGACTGCCGGCATGAACCAAAGTTCGCCCGCTGTCCTGGGGCTCCCATTCCAAAAACTTTGACGGAGGTGCACCTAACCGCATGGCTTTGCTGAAGCCTCAATACACGGCTCACGAGCATGAATAACCCACGCGTATCGTTCCATTGATATCCAGATTTCGGCACGTGACTCAGTCTGAGGGCCAGACTCTAAAGGTTCCGGTTCGTCCTCGTCCCCTCAAGCTCACGGAGTTTGCGTTGCTCCCGGTGAATCTTGCAAGGGCCGACCTCATGTTTTGGTTTCTCTTTGAGCGATGTTCTTGACCTTCTCTAAAGCTAGTCCAAGTGTTTTGTTTTTGCCAGGAGCAGTGGGATTTGTGCGAGTCTGCTTTCTAAAGCACGTGGCTATCCTTGCAAACGAAGAGCCCTCTGAAATCACAGGTTTCCACATGTTCCTCTTGAAACCCAACCACGACAGGTTTAAGTCCAACAGACTTGAAGCCTTCCGATCCGCTCCGCTGCCCGGATCGGTTTTCTTTTTTCGCTCAGCCGGCCGCGTCAAAGGCCTGTCGCAGCGAGTGCGAGGGCTGGAGACCCAAGGCGCTCATCGCCTCCTCAAAGGTCTGTCCCTCGGTGCGGTGTGGGCCCGGGCCTTTGTGGCCAGGACACTGGCTTTTTGGTTGAGGCCCAGAGAAAAAAGCCTGGGGTCCAAAACCAGAGTCAAAGCAAACATGTCCCATGGAAGCTTCAAGTCCAAGCGCGGGCTGACTCATGGGGGTGCTCTCTTTGTTTGCGTGGATGGGCGCAGTCCATGTTTCATCACTGGCTCTGAACAAAGCCAACGCCAACCCTAAGCAAAGCCTAAACCAACCCTTCCAGGGGGGGTCAACGCTGGACCGCCCCAATGTTGCGCTGCAGTTTTCTTCTCCCCGCCTTGCCACGAAGAAAGCGACCAGCATCCGCGTTCACGTAGAGGAGGTCGCGCCCAAAGAGGGTCACGCACTCCATGCAGGCGCTTCCATCGAGTTTGATGGACTGCATGAAGCCCGATTCTATGTACAAATAACACGGGTCAAAGACCATCCTTGAATCAGGGCTCTGGCACACGGCATGTGCCCAAAACAAAAATAGGGACTTGTCTCCCAAGGGAATTCCCAAAACGCTCGGTGTTCTCTCGGGTTCCCTTTTAACACCAAGGTCCCAACCCCAAAAGGACACGCCTACAAATGTCATACATTGCTCCTTGCTGACCTGCCCTCCTTGCTGCCAAGCTGAATTTCCGTTGTGTGCTCGTTTGGCATCCAATGATTCCAAAGCCAGGAACTCAAACCTCAAAAAAGTCCCGGTGCCGCTGAGCCTCTTGTAGACCACCTGAGCACGCCCTTGCCACGTGCTGCTGTAGTGCCGCACAAAGTCCACCTCCCCCGCGAAGCTCCGCGATGCCTGATCCGCATCTCCGGAGTCCCGGGCTGAGTTTGGGGCACCTAACTTGCGGTCGGTAAAACATGAGACAATGGGACGACCTCTATACATGCCGTGTGGTTTCCGTGGGGATGCCTGGGCCAGTCCCACATCACCCGACTTCTCACACCTGCCAGTCTCTGGCCACCAACGCTGAGATCAAACCTCCGCCCGCCTGGTCCCAGCTGGTCTTTTCAAAGGGCACCCGGTACGGCACCGGCGCTCCGTTGTCCATGAGCGGCCAATCGCTGGCATTTTCGTAGGAGACGTAGCCTCGCAGCACCTGCCATGCGGCAAGAAATGTGCGCAACACGGGGAGACCAGATTGACCTTACAAATACAAGACCATTGCCGTCGTTTTCAGGTGGGATCACAGATCCACTGATTCCGATCTGCAAACATGTCAGAAAAGGCAGCGGAAAGCCCCCAAGAAGCAGAGAAGTAGAATCCAGCTACACACTCCTGTTGTGGGCAATCCAGTGCTTGCTTTTCATGGAAAGGGAGTCAGGAACACCCCCAAGAAAATTCCGGATGTTTGAGCTGAGAAAACCGCAAACGATGAGCAACACGCGGCAGCTTCCCAGGCAAACGGAGATGGACAAACATTTTAAACGGCACCTCGAACCGGGTCCAGCACTCATCAGCTAGCTACAGTAAGTGGAAGCGAGAAATATTACACCACTTCTAAACGCCAGGGTAAACATGATATACATATACCTGCAAGTTCCTAGCAGACAAAAGAACGCCAGAGTATGCAAAGAGGGCATACAATTGTCTATTTGGCTGCAATGATTTGCCCCGTGCCGCGCCTCATCTTCGCGCATTTCCTCGAAGTGATAGCTCCTGACTGTCATACCAAGCATGTGCGCTCTCTCAAGTATCAATCGAAGCTCCGGGAAAAAGTTGGCAAAGAGCAAAATCTGCACTGTGGCAGAAAGAGAAACAGCCCTCCAGCCCGAAACACTGCGCACGACAAAGGCTCACTGAGCACTTGCAGCCTGTGCAACCCGGCTGCGTTAAAAAACGAGAAACGGCTCTGTGCCCTTTGTGGACAAGGCTCTCCACCCCCAGCCGCAGATTCTGCACAAAGCAGTTGCCGAAGGGAGTCCCAGGTCTAAAATGCACCTCTGAGGTGAGCGCCTGGTACCGAACGTATTCCTCAGCCGGCCAAACACGTCACCTGGGGCCTTCAGCTGGTAAATACTTGATGCAAGACTTTGGGCTAGCCAACAAACCTTTGCCCCTTTTGTTGCGGCCACAACAAGGATTGCGTGAACCTGCTTCGCCTTCGCCCAAACATGGTCAAAACTGCGACGATCGAATCAGTGGACACTGCAGCTGAGAAGCAAAGCCATTAGGCCCCAGGAGCTTGTAAAAAACGATGCGGTCGTAGCGGTCAGGCGGACCTCTTAACCGCTGCCAGGTTATGGAGGGATACTCCGGGTCATCAGTGGCCTGGGTGCAGTGAAGCAACGCATTGTGTCCCCAATGCACAACACAAGCCAATTTGGAGATGGGTGTGGAACTTGGCGTCATTCAGATCAATCCTGAACACAAATGGTCACGTTGCTTTTGCCGTCTCTGCCCTCTCCTACCTACGCTAGGCCCGACATGAAACCTGATAGGACCAAACTCAAGTCAAGTGTCGGTTCAGCAGTGTGGGATGGAAGAGGACATCTACAGTACGTGACTTGACGTCACATCTTCCCCGGTATCCCCTTCAGAGACCTCTCGGAAGCTCTCAGAAGACCCTGCTCATTTGTCTAGACGATGCCCAACACTAAACAAAAGAAGAGCGTCCAGAGCCGAAAAAGAGTAGGGTGGTAAACCCTACATTATTCCCTGACCGCTCGGTGTCGCAAAAGACCCTGCTCATTGTTTAGAAGATGCCCAGCGTCAAGAGAAACGAGCAGGGGCGTCACAAGTGATGCTGGGGATGTTACAGGATGCTGGGGATGCGGACCCTGCATCACCAGCATCATACTCATCGAAATGTAAGAGAGAAAAGGAAATTCACGCGAGACAATGCTGAAAAAACGCACACCCCCTCCTGAGCTTCGCTCCCCAAAGAACTGAAGCTGATGGCTCTCGTGATAAAGTATAGTTGGCTTCAGCCAGTGCATGCTGTCCTGATTCGAAAGACCTGTTTACGTTCAGGAACCTTTCAAACCACGCCCTCATATGACCTGTGTTCCAAAAGCAAGATGATTCCTTCTGCGCCAAAAGTAGCCAGGGCGCCCACACCAATTTGCGGCCGTCCTCACACTGCAACCCAAAATTGCTACCAAGTCTTTGCCAAGGCCTGTAACAACGTCTTGGCTCGTCATAAAGTGTCTGTGTAGTTACAACAAGGCAAATACAAGGAACACATGTACAGAATAGAAGCTTCATGTGTAACTTTGACATTCGCCTGTTCCGTTCGATGTGTTTCTCTCCTCCAACTGCGGGTTGTTCTCCAGCTCGCAGAACTGCAGAACCCCCAGGCCCCGCCACACGAAACAGGGCCGCGTGGGTTCCGTGAGGTTCAGCCAGTAGCGCATGCCCCTGGACGGCTGCTGGTTCGAAACGAACCGCTGAAACCCGAATTTGACGAATGGGGGGCACTACAGTCCGGTTGGCCCAGCTTCAATATGCTTGGACAGGGCTCAGGTGTCGTTCCGGAAAAGGCTCAAAGGCACTGGCGAGGCGTCAGAACTTCCAAGTAAATCCCCGACTGCATCGCCCGCCCGAAAACATGACCTCCCGCCCCCAATTTTTAGGGAAAGAATGCTTCTTGTGACTTTGCCGCTGCATGTTCCACATAACACTCTCCCAACGCAATCCCGTGCCTTTGCTCCCACATGCCACCCTGGACACGGATCAGCTCGCCCTCCGTCTTGTCGCCCCAATCCACCTTCCAAATGCCATCCAGAAGGCAGGCGTGCCGGTGACTTCTCAGCTTCATGACCCCAGTGGTCACATGCATGAGGTCCTGGAAGCCACGGCAAGCTGTCTGGACGTTTGACGGAATCAAACCAAAGGTCGTTTTCTGGCAGTCCAAATGCAGTGCAAAGGCCTCCATTGGCTTCAACCGGTCCTGCCCCCGAAAACGCCCCGCTCCTTGGAAAATTGCATGACAATGCGCCAGCGTTCAGCGCCGTACCAAGTGGCTGGTGACCAATTAAGCTCGCCGTGAAAAGTCCTTGAGCCCTCGTGCCAGAAGGTCCTCTCGAACATTTTCCTGGCATCGCAGCGAACTGGTTCTCCTACATTTCGCTGCAACTATCGCAAAAACCTCTCCAGCTTGCGCTTGCCCCAGATCCCCTTCCACTCAAACCGGCCAGGGCGCTTTCTGGGCGGCTCGCTGCCATTGTCCAGGACAAGGCCGGCAAATGTGCACCGCTCAGAGCTATGACTGATGTAGGCAGTGTCCCGCTCAAAGTGAAACGATGCGAAACCCACCTTCGATCAGTCTGACAAGCCCGCCAATAAAATGCTGTTGTGTTTGCCTGGAGTCCTGGACAAATACCTGCAGGCGTCAGTTCCCGCAGGGCTTACAGTATCATCGCCTTCATTATCCCGGCAGTGTCTCGCTGAAGAGAAGCATCAAGAAACTGCAAAGGCTTCGCAAGGATCAATCTTTCAAAGGGCAAAGGGCAAAACGACTGGCTGCGCCTCGCCATGGCTGCGGAGCACGAAGATGCTGCCATCCAGAGGCGAGAGGTCGTCGCTCAAGAAATGCATCCTTGGCTCTGGGGCTCCGCGGCGGTTGAAGAGCTTGACTCGATGAACCTCGATGCCTTACGGCCTTATCACGGCCCAAGGCTGGTGTGGATACACTTGGGAGCTTTCCAGGCCCTGATTTGACCGGGGCTTGCCAGCTACCAATCTGGGCTAGGAAGCATGGTGTCCGAGCAACATTCGCTCAGACCGATGTAAAGATTATTGCCAGTGCACGCAGCAAGGGAGGGGGGGCAAAGAGCCTACCTAAATCAATTGAGCTTGATTTTGGGCTGAAGGGCTCTAAAAACAACAAGTCCCGTCAAGTGCCGAAAGGACCGGCGTGCTGCCACGTCTCCGGTCGCCGCTGTGTGCCAGCTGCAATGCAAAAAGGCTCACCGTCTGCCGGCACAGGGGACAGGGCCGCTCCTGAGAGGCAAAAAAGACGCCGAGCCGAAGGCCCGCAAAAGCGAAATGCCTTGGAGTTTCCGCTTTGGGATCTGACCACTTTAGTGCACTGAACACGTGGGCCAGAACCGCCGGCCGAGGTGCTGTGGGGTCGCCGGTTTGGCAAGCTGCAAGAGCCTTCTCGATGCATTGCCGGCAGAAGCTGTGGTTGCACGGGGTGATAACGTGAGACTCCTGCAGGCAGCGAAAGACCAGCATGGCCGCGCTGATTTGTCTCGGCGGAGTCAGTGAGCCAAGCTGCTAGATTTGAGGGCTGCCTTTTTCGATGAGAGAAAGACTGGATTGCCTTGTCGGTGACTTTCCAAGGGCTGTTCGCAGCGTGCAAAAGCTTCAGTTCAGGATCTTTGCTTCACAAGCTGTCGCAGTCATTGAGGCTCTAGGCACAGAGTCATGCACTCAAAAATGCAACTACTCCACGCAGGCAGTTGCAATTTGTAGGAACAGGTTTGCAAATATCCGAAGCCCCTCTATCCAATTCCCAAATTCCTTCACTGAGCTCCTGTATTGGAAACACTTGCGAAAGCAGCAAATCGCTGCAAATCGCTCTCCGGCCAGGTGCCCCAGTCCTCGTCGAAGGCAGTGAAGCAAATGGGGCAGTTCTCCTCGCAAAACGTCGGCTTGATAGCGTCAGCCTTCACTGAAGCATTCCGCATTGAACCTCAATTCAAACGAAACCCAAAAGGCCCCTTCAACTTTTCAAGGCGACTCCAGCCAATCCGTTCGACATCCTGCTCCAGCGGCATCACTGCGCTGTGCTCTTCTAGCGCAGGGTCGAAGATTTGCACGGCGCCAGTGCCAAACCAAGCAAGCCTTCGGGGCGGACGCTCAGTGGGCCAACGGGCCATCCAAAATAACTTCAGAGTGACAGGGTCTGTCCGAATGCGCGGAAAGAACTCACCCACGCTTCTTTTTGGGCACAACTGACGGATTCTCCCCGAGTCGCTCGGGCTCCAGTGCATCCGTAAACCTCACCAAGAAGGGCTGCTCCGTGCCGTCGTCGGCGAAGAGCCGGCCCAGACGCAACTCATCCCCCACGACTACCACCAAATCCCCCACGGCAGGCCGGGCCCTGGTGAATTGGGCCCCCATTGCTCGCGACGGAGCCCAAAAGAAAATATCCTTGAGTCTTGTTCTGGTTGCATAACTCTTGGGTTTGGTTCAGCCGGGGCACAGGCCCCTGGCATCTGTGTCTGCATGCTATGAGCATGAAAGGAAAAGGAACTACGTTAAGGGCCCTACTCGACATTGGCCATTTTTTGGCGGCACGGTGTGTCTGGCGCTCAGAATCCACGAACAATTTGGTATGCGCAGACCTCCGCACAAGCCCGGGCGTACTTTGAGCCCTTTGTGGCTGCAGAGGTCGGCAAGGCTGTGATCGAGGGCCGGGCGCAATGGCACGTTCCCACTGATCCTCCAAACGCGTCCAGTTGCTATTGGAGCTTAAAAATATGCCACGCAACGCAGCAGGAAAAGTCAAAAAAATCAACTGAACTGTTGAGCTTCCCAGACCCACCGGATATCGCGCACCTGCATACCCAACGGAAATCAAGAAGACCTCACCAGACAGAGTCTTGGGCGTAGAGCCTTCACAAAAGAGTGGATGCCCTTAGTGAATTTGCAACCGCCCACTGCAAATGAATTCGACTTGCACCGAGCTGCTTCATCGGCCCTCTGGCCTTCTGGGCCTTGTGAGGCGTCATGGTCCATTCCTCACCTCGCAAGGCGAAGCAATCTGAAACCCCAGAATCAGCGCAAGGAAGGGGGAATAAAACAACCGGGGAGATGGGAGAGAGCGGGACAGAGCGAAAACAAGAAGCAAGCAACATATATATGTATATATATATATTGTATAATATGTGTTGTGGAATGCATAAATGGAAAGAGCAAGCAAGCAAGCAAGCAAGCAAGCAAGCAAGCAAGCAAGCAGGCAAGCAAGCAAGCAAGCAAGCAGGCAAGCAAGCAAGCAAGCAAGAAAGAAAGAAAGAAAGAAAGCAAGAAAGAAAGAAAGAAAGAAAGAAAGAAAGAAAGAGAGAAAGAAAGATTAAAATAAAAAGCCAAAAACAAATGTTGATTACGGGAGGGAGAGATACTGAGAGAGAAGGGGAGAGAGAGAGAGAGAGAGAGAGAGAGAGAGAGAGAGAGAGCGCCAAGTGAAGTCTAATCAACAACAATGAGCAAATTGTGAACATTCAAATTGACAAGAAGCTGGAATGAATGGCAGGAAAAAAGCGTAGCTCGGCTTCCAAGACAACCCAAACTAAGTGCGTGCCGAAATGGCCAAACCACATGGCCCAGAAACGAGTTTCCGCGCGGAAACTAGACACAGGCCCAAAAACATTTCGTGCCACATTTGTTGCAAGGTGCGATTTCAAGGTGCAATGCAACTTGATGCTTATGACTGGCAATTCATTATTCTACCGTATCAAAGCCACCCTCCAAGTGCTATGTCACAGGAAGCCACCAACCAGTTTCTGACTTTGATATCCCCAGAAATGTCGCCATGGTACCATCGCCCGGATGCCAAACCGGATCACCGGATCGCCAGATCGGACCGAGGACCCCACCGATCCGAACCCGCGACCATCGTGGGATCGGAAAGCTGAGCAAACGAGATGCATCCGGGGCCCGTGACGCTCCCAAGCAAACCGCACACCTCTCTCGGGCATGTAGACACCTGGGCCTTGCAGGGCAAACGCATGAAATGCATGAAACATGGGCTCACATCAGGTCAAAAGCATCCGTCTGGGGATCACAAAGCTTGGATGCTGCCCCGCATCTGGAGCCGTCTGTGTGAGCCAATGACACTTGAACTGAATTGCATCATATGAGGGTTAGAATTGACACGGGTGAAGTATGGAGCCTGCACAAGATGAATTGCATTCCAGCAAGCTCTCACAGATCCCGGGGCAATGATCAGAGCGCTTCCAGGGCTACGTCCAGTGGCTCCGGCGAGCATCAGCAGACTCACCAGGCTGGTCAATTCACCAAATTTTGAGCGACTCTATAAACCTCCCATGAATCCCTATGTCGTATCAAGTTGCTTCCGCGCGAGCTTGCGCTTTCCTTACGCGACCCATGTGTTAACTTATGCGGCAGTCAGCGAGCATGTTAAGCTTACGCATGGCTTACGCGTGGGCGTTCTGAGCGTTTCCCCTCAAGAATTGCTTACGCGAGCTCCTTTTCTCATGCAGACGCCAGAGCTGTTCAAAACTCTGAGGAAGAAGATGACGAAGAACTACCCTCACGAGTCTCAGCGGCTTGGCATTGTTGTTATTGCTGCAAGTCAAGAAACGGGTTATGCGGCAGCGGCATCCATCGCGAGGGCTAGCGGGCAGCCCAGCTAGGGCGAGCGTACGCGAACCTTACGCGCCTGCTTTCGCGAGCTTACGCGCCTGAGCCCCTTTAGTTTTCCTAGATCAGCGGTTTCAGAAGCCTTTGTTTGTCCTAGTCAAGGTTGCAACAGCACCTAGCATGAGCCCCAAGAGCTCCCAATCAAGGTTCTGCTGGCTTTGTTTTCTTATTGATGTGCACAAGCGGTCTTAGACGACTTCTTGCAGCCAAAGTCTCCGGGCAAGTTGCCAAGCACAAGCCACCAATAATCTCTTTCGCACAGCTCTTCCGAGCATGCTTACAAAGCTTACCAAGCAATCACGAAGAAGAGCTTACGCAGGTGCTTACGCAGCTTGTTTCCCCAAAAAGTGCTTACGCCGGCTTACGCCGTGCAGGGTTTTGCTTACGCGGCGCCTTGTTATGACACAACTCTTGCTTGGGATGAACGGGGGTTTTTAGAGCTGCTCAAATGTTCTGCAGCTGCATCAGTTTGGAATGACAGCCTTCCACCACAAGATAGGAAGGTACGCACACACTTACGCCTCTGGCCATTGTGGGTATTGTGGCAACTCAACACGAAAGCATGCTGCGGGGGGGGGGGGGCTTTCGCATGAATGCGATCCACGGTGCAGAGCTGGATAAGTCAGCATGGCAGAACACCTCGAGAAACACCACCAGAGCGCAGCTCATGTTTTCTGTCACGCGCTGAGATCTGCGTCACGCTGAAAGAGTTGAGTCGCCGGGCGATCGAAATTTGCTATCCTGGAACAGTCCCAACACCGCTGGAGCTTGAGACGATGGCAAACTTAGGAAAGAGCCGCTTCGGGCTGTGAGACACTGATGGCTCGATGCGCTGGGCTTCCTGTGCATGAAACAACTCTCAACTGGAAGATGTCAGAAACTTGGAGGCCAAAATTACCCCTGCCGACTAAACAAAACTACCTCAAAGGGAGAAGGTGATAGCTCTTTGCTCACGCGTAGAGCCTCCTTGAAAACGCGACCAGTCTGCCACGAGCCGAGCAGTAAAAGCTCAGTCAATACCTGGGCCAAGTTTGGCTAGTGAAAACGCGCGGGCGAGCGGCGGCGTTTCACTTCACATTGCTTGGCCATAGCGCCGGCATCAATTCATCAATTCCCCGGTTGCGAACGCATGCCTCCAACCCAATTGCAGCCAAGGTTGCTGACGTTCGAATCTGTGTTCAGCTCAATCTCGGTGCAACTGTAGCCCTGAGAACCACCCGAGCTGCTGAAACGTATCCGAACCAACACTACGCTAGCCACTAGCCAGTTCTATGGTTGGCTTCGGCGATCCGATTGAACCTGAGCCACCTGTCATCAAAAGCGAGGAACCACAACTTGTCAATGGATACTCTATGGAGAGCATTTCAACTGGCATCAACCTCTCTATTCATGAAAAGGCAATTCCAGCCTTGCAACAACGAGGTTAGCAACAATGAATGTAGCCCCCCTTGTATCCTCGCAGAAGCTCTTGGTGGGGGCCGACACTTTTGTGACCATACCGCTTGCCCCAAAATGTGTCCCGTGCGGCACCACGGGACACAGGAAAGCTCCTCTACTGCAAGGTCTGCATGTCAAGGCTGCGGGCCTTATGGTCTCGCGCAAGCTCCAGCACCGTACTCTCCGGCATGTACAAATCCGCGATGGATTTCTGACAGGGGGGGCACGGTCCACCAGGAACAGTCTCTGACATGTTGCTCTCTTTCAGGTTGCAGCGAAAAAAACACCGAACGCTTTGACGTCCAAGAGCGGACAGCGTATGCGCAAGCGCAGTGAGGCTTGTGAGCCCTGCCCGTGCCTCTGAGCAGCCACAAAAGTGAGCATAAAGAACTCGCCGCCTGAGCTCAGGGCCGCGCTCAACCCGCCATGGAACTTTCCTTGACTCGTTCCCAGGTCTACCGCTTGTTGGCCGCACCGTTTGGCCAACAATTCCTCTCAGGAAGGCCGCTTGTCAACACCAGGGTGAAAGTGGTTGGCACAATTCCCTTTATGCCATCAAAGGGGATGACTAAACCAAGGTGATCTGGTTTCAGATGATAGGAGCGGGCAACAATGAAGCAAGCTACCTTCGCCGGGCGCAGCCCTCCGCTAGCTTCTGGGCACCAAGTTGCGGCCCGCGCAGACCCCTCACAGCGATCGGACCCGGACCCCCGGACCCGCCCGACAGCGCTGCAAATTGCGTGGTCGACCCCCTTCCAAGATGCACAGCCTGCGCCAAAGAAGCGAGGGAGCTTCTCCGTGTCGACGGCACGCTGGACGCATCGCTCCCCTCCAGCAATGAGCGCAATCACGCACGAGGGCACCAGCCAGCGCTCCAGGGCAGCAGTGCCAGTAAAAGGGAGTACAGGGGTTCCGAAACACAGCAGGAGCAGCAGAGAAAACAAGGAGGGAAAGAAGGAAAGAAGAAGGGTAGAAGACATCAAATCGAGGAAGGAAGGAGACGGAAAACAAATACAGCTGGTAAGCGACACAGCAGCAAGAAAGAAAGAAAGAAAGAAAGAAAGAAAGAAAGAAAGAAAGAAAGAAAGAAAGAAAGAAAGAAAGAAGAAAAAAAAAAAGGAAAAACGAGAGAGAGAGAGAGAGAGAGAGAGAGAGAGAGAGAGAGAGAGAGAGAGAGAGAGAGAGAGAGAGGGACAAATAGGGAGGAAGGAAGGAAGGAAGGAAGGAAGGAAGGAAGGAAGGAAGGAAGGAAGGAAGGAAGAAAGAAAGAAAGAAAGAAAGAAAGAAAGAAAGAAAGAAACAAAAAAGGGGGAAGGAACAAAAAAACACGCAAAAGAAATTGAAAAGACAAAGAACATAACAGAAAGGAGAAAGAAAGGAAAAGAATTGAAAAGAAAAGACTAGAAAAGAAAAGAAGGCACACCAACACACACACACACACACACACACACACACACACACACACACGCACACGAGCACGCACAGGAGCAGAAGCAAAAAGAAGGCAAGAACAACACAAACGCCCGGAACACTAAGCCGACAAAACAAATGACAGCCTGAGCCAAGCGCGCAAATAAAGCGTGGAAGGCCAAGAACCCTTCTAGACCAGAGGGGGGGTGTTCGTGTTGTAACAACACCTTCGGCGCCGACCCCCTGGGTTCACCTCTCTCCAAACACTGTCAACAAGGGAACAAACAGGCGATTGGCCCGGCAGAACCAAACTGTGCAAACAATTGCGCCATCTACTTGGCAACTGTGTGACTTGCGACTCGGCGTGACGTCGAGCTGCACGTCATCGCCCGGGCAAATGACTAGCACGGAGCGCGGCAGGCGCTCCAGAAGCAGAATGACCTCTCGTCGACTCGGCGACTCGTCGAAAGAAACGCGTACGCGGTCTCGCATGTCGGTGTGCCACATCGAAACACACACGTGGGCATAGCTACACACCGAATTCCATTTGAGTATACATCTAGATACGTGTATATTTGAATAGTCACAGAAACCTACATACACAATGTGCACTGATAAGGGCTTCCACCCACGCTAGCTGCACTGGCGAGATGAACAAAGACAAAGACAAAGGCCAATATCATTCTTTGTCAAGAGCCAAACACCCCATGTTACAAAGCACTCATGTGTTGCTACTATTTTGCAAAAGGATTCAGTTGACTTTCATTGGCAGTAGGAAACGCCTGCAAACATGCGGATATACCGGTAAAAATCTTGCCAACAGGGATACTGCAATTTGAGGAGCAAATAATTGCAGCTTTTCCAAAACCTGAAAGATTTTGGGCCGATATTCATTTGAACATATCCTATACCTTGTTCCTTGCTTTCTGAGTGCGTTGTCGTCGGTGGTGGCCAAATTCTGGTTCATCAAGACGCAATCAGCAAAAGCCAGAATCTTGCCGCAACTTTATGCCTGATTGCTGGACTAAAACCGCTTTCATTTCCGCCTCCACGCGCATGCGCCGCACCAGGTCTCCATAGCTCTCTGCCACCGCCGAGCCATCACAGGTCCCCTGGCATGTCTCAAAACATCAAACGCGCCGTGCTAAGCAGCTCCACATGGTCTTCTGAGGTGTTTGTGCTTGAAAGGTTTGCTTGACAAGGCATGTCTGTCAAGCCGGCTGTGCGGAAAGGGACAGAAAGGTGGACCTTCTTTGCGAAGCAGGCTCGAGAACCTTCGTATTACAATCGCATCGCTCGCCCTCCCCATAGATTCATCTGAACGAGAACCCAAATATCCAGTCGCGCGCATGCAAGATCAGCCTTGGTGCTACATTGGCTCAGGACTTCGGTCCGTAAGCGCTAAACATGAGGCGCATCCCCGCTGCATCCCAGCCGCGACACAGCGGCAGCAGGCGACGGCGACCGGAACACGAAGGGCTCCTAGGAATCCGCGCACGGGGACCTCCCTGGCCGATGGTTCCCGTTGCGACCACGGCCGGCCACGAATTCGCGCGGCAGGCCCACGATGCCCCCGCAAAACGGTAACGGCGCGAAGGCGGAAGCGTGGCCACAGCAACGGCGAAACCACAGCCAGCCCTGCGTGCTCCCCCCCCCACAGATTCAACCAACAAGAACCTAAATATGGGCCCCCGCATCCACTGAAGCCGACACAAACGCAAAATGACCATGGTTCGTTCTCTGTGTCATTGTCAGATTGCTTCATCAAATGCTTCATGAATCGCCATGAGGCCCCTCGCCCGCCTCTGAGCGACCCTGCAGCGCTCGCAGGTTCAGAACACAGCGGGGCCGCTGCGCCTTGTCGAATCGATTGCCGACCTGCAGGGCGCTGGCGCCCAGTGCAGGTTTCTGCAGGGCGAAACAGCAATGCCGAGCAATGTCGAGCAATGTCCGAGATAAACTGCATCGTCATGCTCCGATGCATTGCCAGGGGGCGGTTTCAAACTGAGACGAAATGCTCACGAGAAATCCTCGGCACTAGCGCGTTGACAGCTGGCACCTCGTCCCATCCTCTCAACACAAGTGGCACCTTGTCCCATCCTCTCCCCTCGTCTCTCATCGCACCTTGGAGAGGTCCTGGGCGATCTTCACCGCGTGCTTCGAGGTGCCGCAGATCACGTCGATAGTGCCTCGGCTGTCAGAAAGGGCCCCGCCCACCCCCCCCCCGCCTTCCACAAAAAGGT